ATTCTTTTTTTTCTTTTTTTAACTGAACAAGAAACTCTCAAATGAGAGAAGAATAAATTCTTTTTATTATTCTGAAATAAACAAAATAAACAATGTAGAATGAAATATTCAACATGAAGAGTTCATGTTCTACATTGAATCCTACCTTATTGCTGAAAATTCTCCCACGGATTTTAAATAAATTCAACATGATATAATCAACAATGTGCTGAAATTCTAAGCATTCCGGGGTGTTCAATGATTTTTGTGGCAATGGAAGGTAGGTATTATTGGTGTCATGCATATTGGACTTAGATTCTTGATTTGTGAATGTTTGTTCTCTAACAACCAATTTTTCTTTAACAATTTTCTCAACCCCAAGATTCATGGTTGATGTGTAAAAATTTGGTTGTTGTTTATTTTCCAAAAATCTTAGTTCATCAAGAAAGAGTTTTTCAAAATTCAGTTCAAAGCAGCAATTGTTCAACACAGTTTCTTTATTTTGACAAACCCGATCTGCTTCTCCTAATATTTTTAGCTCCTCACCGAAAATTTCCTCAAAACTTAGATCTGACTCTTCTTCTTCTTCCCCCGGTCTTTCTTGAATTGAATTATCAGGGGAAGAATGAATTGGAACAATAATTTGTCTTAAAGGTGTTCTTTCCTGATTATCAACCTGTTTTCCTGACTGTAGTGCATTCATTTGAGTGTCCTTAGGATTGACCATGGGTTGACTCAGAATTTCTCCTTCTTCTACTTCACTTATGGCACTAGCTAGTTGATCAATATGGGTTTCTAATCTAGCTAGGGCTTGAGTGTTAGAGTTAAGTATGAGTTCGGTTGATAGCATAAAGGAGTTCATCGTGTAGGATGTTTGAGTTAACATATCCATGGCTAGTGTGGAGGCCTTAATTATGATTTCAAAACCTTTTTTCAAAATATTTAGACGTTCATCATGATCTGTATTAAGAGGAGTGTGAGTTATAACTTGATGATGAGGAGACTGATTTTGATGTGACAGACTGGGTTGTTGAAATTGTGGATGAGAATTAAAAGGAACTGTATTTTCCCTAAGAAAATGTTGGGTCGAAGAGGGAGTGAAGTTTTGAGTTTCGGAGTGGTTTCCCTGATTCCATGCAATGTTTGTGTAACTTGCCCAACCTGGGTTGTAGGTTGGAAAAAATGGATCATTTACCGAATACTGATATGGACTCTCTTCAAACTCCCGAACTTCATTGAAAATTTCAATCCTATTGGGATAACATAAATTTTGAAAAACTTGTGGATTAGTCATTTGTTCAAAATAAATTTGTTGACGTGTATTGTCCTTAATCCACGTTTTGCATGCACCAAAAACAATTTCTTTTTACATAATTTTTTTTTGAAAAAAAATAAAAGTTAGTTTTCTTTTTTCTTTTTTCTTTTTTCTTTTTTTTTTGAAAAAAAGAAAAATCCTAACTAAAATAAATCAAAACCAATCACTTTTCAATCACTCTAACTCTAGGGTTAAGCCTAACTCAACTAGACTAGCTCCTAACCAAAAATTCCTAAAGTGAAAAGATAAAATTTTTACCCGGGTAGTTAGCCAGGTAAGGATAGTACTAGAGGGTGATCAAAGATCAATTAAGTACCTCTTTCCTTACGGAGCGCTTTACGCAACCCCTAAACCTTGCCTTAGACACCAACTAATCTGAGAAAACTTAAACCGGTTCACTTAAGGATTTCTTGTTCCTTATTGAGCTCGAATCCTTAGAGGCCAATGTCTAATGAGTTTTATTAGGCTTGGGTTTGTGAAGTGAGGAATTAGTGATTTTTGAGCTAAGGAAAGGGTGATGAAATCCCTCACCTTATCTTGATTATGGGGTTTTGCCCTTAAAGATATTTTTAAGTCTGTGCCAAATCAAGATGCTCAAATCACTTAGTGAATTCCTACTATCAATATAAAATGCAACCCTATGAATTAAAAGCAACTAAAAAGGATGGAAAAGAAATTTTTTTTTTTAATTAGGGTTAATAATCAAACAAATAAGAAGGGGGGAATTTGTTTGAATTTATTATCTTGTTAGTAAATGTCAAAGTGGAGGGTGAATTTTATTATGGTCAACGGAAATAAAATCTTTTTTTTTTAAAGTCCTAATTGTCTCTAATTGTGAAGAAGCTAACTAAAGGTATGGAATTGAAAATATAAGGAAGAAGACTTACCACAAGCGAATATCCAATTCCCCAATCTCCAATTCTTGATCTTTAATCTCCAAGTAGTTCTTGCACAATAAACACACAAGTTAAAGAACCAAAATAATTAAAACCTACTTAAGCACCCTCCCCGGCAACGGCGCCAAAAACTTGATGCGGCATAAACATGTACCAAAAAGGTTGCAAGTGCACAACCGTGTCAAGTTATAGTATTTAAGATATCGATTCCACGAGGAAGGTGTTTTGTAGGAGAAAATATAAATTCGGTTCTTATGTTGTGTGCGTGACAAATAGGAGTGATGAGTGAATGTGATTGTGAAGAGATTGAGATAGTAAAAATGGTGTGTAAATAGGTGCAAGGTGTAAGTGAGAGTGGATTTGAAAAAGAATAAGTATGATCAATAAGGTGAGAAGGAAAAATGAATAAAATCAAGAAAAGAATGAAGAACAAAATTCTAGAATAAAAGAAAATACAAGAAATTAAAGATGGTGGATTCAATTATAGATATGGATAATCTAAAATTGAACCCACGTCTTAGAAAAGGGTGATTCCCTAGAGGGTTCTAGCCTAAAGGCGAATCAAACAAAATAAAAATAAACAAAAAGAAAAACTAAACCCAAGAGGGTTCTAGCCTCAAGGTGAATAGTATAAGAAATTAAAATCTAACTACAAAATAAAGTGCAAAATCTAAACTACAAAATAAAATTGCAAGAATTAAATGCAAGAAAATAAATCTACTCTATAAGCATGAAATAAATCTAAGGCAAGAGGGTTCTAGCCTCTTGGCTATTTAACAAGAAAATAAAATCTAAACTACAAGCATAGAAATAAATCTACACTAATAAGCAATAAAAAGGAAAGAAATGCAAACCTTCAAATAATTCTCCATCTTCATCTTCATCTTCATCATCCAATAAAGAGAAGAAGAGAAAAATTTAAAGTGGTGAAAAAATTATTATTATTAATTGCAACAAAAAGTTACAATTTTGGAAGGCCTTCTCAATTAAGAGTAGCCCTCCTCTCCAAAAGGAGTTACAAAAATTTTCACACCTCTAACCCCTTATTCTCTACCCCTATTTATAGTAAACATCAGTGAATGAGAGCCATTGGATCAAACTTGAGCCCCAAGAATGCAATTTCGGCCGTTGATAAAATCTGGAGGACTTCGCATCGATACCAGCATCGATGCCGGCATCGATGCTGGCATCGATGCCCTAATAAAAATTCTGACTTCACGGTTGGCTTCGTCTCGTCGAGATAGGCGATTTTCATATATTATATGTTAAATTCCGCCTTCCGGATTGGGAGATATGGGCGTTTCTTTGCGGCCAACCATCTTGAATATAATTTCTCTTCATATTGGATTTTTGATTTTCTCCGGCTTCTACAGGCTACTCGGCTTGATTCTGGGCTTTTGGATAATTTGGAAATTGATTTTCCAATGGGTTTCTTTGCTTTATTTCTTCATTTAATCAATGGGTTTCTGTTGAGAAATGAGAGTTTGAGATTTATTCTTCATTAACCTGCATTTAAAGATAAAAACAATTATTAGTGGTATATTTATTCATATAAAATAGATAATGAGGGTATAAAATTATAATAAAAATGTGATTATCAACCCGCGCGCGTTTTCTACGTTTGACTGGTTCAAACAGAACCTGAATGGTTTTAAAACCTTATCTCCACTTAATGGGGTCAGTTACACCCTATTATGGAGAGATTTTAGAGGGAAGATTACACCCCTTAAATCATTGAACGGTTTCAAAACTATTTTTCACAAAATGGGGTCGGTTACACCCCATTAAGGAGAGATTTTAGGGGGCGGTTACACCCCTAAAATCCCTATAAATAACAAAAAACTCAGCTGAGTTCGGGGATCTTTGATCTGGAATTTTGGAGATCAAAACGGCACAAAGAAGAAGTCGACATTCTTCGACCAACAACATCCTCGACAACAGAGAATTCTTGGAGCTTTCATCATTGGCTTATTAACCGATTTTCGGTTCAAATCAACTCTTTTTCAAGAGTTTAAACTCGCTCTGAGTTATCAACTTATCAAGAGTTTCAAACTTGCCACGCAAGTTCTCTTCAACGTCAATCAAGAGGAATCAATCACGTTCTACAAAGCGAGGTGGTCGGATCGTCAATGAGAAGTAAACTCGGCACGAACGTCGAGGGAGGCATCTCATCGCTACCGTGAAGAACCCAGGTTAAACAAAGGGGAGAATCTCCGTCGATCTTCTTCTCTTTTGTAAATCGGGAATCCGATATAAGAAGATTGTAATTTTTTTCTAAAGTTTGTTAGAGAGAAATTGTATTGAGGATGTTGTAATCATTCTTTATCTAAGTCAGTTAGAGAGAATAACACATTTTTGTTCTCAATTGTCTTCTTCGAATTTTCCCACCAAACAGCATGTGAAATTTGTGGTTAACTCCTTTAGGGCTTTTATTTTGGTTAAAAAATGTTGAAATTTGAAGGGGTTTTTGCCCTTAAAACTTTGGGGTGGGGGTTTGTGACAGTTAAAAGTAGAGGGTTTTTTGAGAAACACCAAAACTTAAGATGGATTTTGTCAAAATTTACCGTTAACTTTGTATCTCTTTGGTGTATACCGTGTATTCGAATATTTTTAGTTGAATAAGGTAAAAACAGGAAATTAACTGTTCATTCAACTGTTCTTGAACTTTTCTTCTTTTATACTCAGCACTCAAGATTGTTCTTTGATATCTGTGAAAACCTATAATGTGCCTTGTTGATGCTGACAGTTGCTCAATGTTGGCACAATAACGGAAAAACAAGAGGAATAAAGAACAATTAGGAAAAATAAAGTAGAAAATATGTACATATGGAAGTTATATTGATATATAAGTAAAAACCCTGTACAATAACATTTTTCGGATCAATCTCCAAACAGCCCTCTACCACTAACAACTATGAGGGCCTTCAACATCAGGTCTCTTTAAAAACCAACCTAATCAAAACTGAACAAAATTACGTACATATAATTCCCCTAACTCAAATGAACATCTCCAAACTGATGAAAGCTAAACATATCATCCTCAAAATTGAATGAGTCTGCAATAAAACTCATATCCAAATTGCCTGTTGAAGAATTCAAGCCTGAAATGTCACCAAAATCCGGCAAGTCGAAGTATTCCGACGATGCGGTGGCCGGCGTCAGATTCTTGCTAATAACTTCAACTTCTTCATCATTTTCTTGTGTTTTTGAGAACAATGGAGAGGGTGGAAGAGGGTTTTCTTGAGTGATATCGGAGATGTTTGATCCAAAGCTAATCATTGAAGGTTCAATTGAGTTGTTATGTTGGATGATAGTTGGGATAATGTTTGGATTATTGCACGAGTGTTCTCCTATGTAAGTCATGAGAAAATTAGATGGATCATTTTCTGATACTTGAACTTGTTTTATAGCTTGACAGCCTTGATCATACTTGTGAGTGCACCTGAAATAGCTCCTGCATGATTCAATTTTTGTTCAATTAGTCATTGTTATTCCAAGTAATTTGCAATTTGGGCAAGATTTTAGCAAATGTTTGATCTTGTATATAGAATGTGAAGAACAAAATTGCCTTGGAAATTTAGAGCTATGGATCACTTTCTGCCCATATTTTCTCCATGAGTAATCATCAGTGCACGTCTTAGACAGGACAGTCCTCCACTGAGATGCTTGTTTTCTGCAAACAACAAAAATTCAATTAGCTAACTATAATTGGAGTACATATACTAAAATCTGGTTTTCATTGATAAACTCTAGCAAATTCCTCTCAGAAAAGCTATTGTCAATTAGTACTGGACCAATTACTGACTCGAAAAGCTATTCTTTGAAGAGACATACTAAACTATGAACAAATTAGTGTATACTTAATAACTGATGCTTACCGAATCAGATGTATTGTATTAATGGTGCATGAAAATGATGTATATACCCTTCAACAAATTTCGTCAGATCATTAGGTCCATGGATCCAAAGTACACATCATATCTAATTGATGCAATCCAGCGAGATGCCAGTGGCCACTTTATCTATCATAAAAATGCGGAGCACAAACATTGCTGATCAAGTATGGACGGAAGACATGATTCTAATTTTTTTACTTCATCACCATCTGTAGCGTTAACTGTGTATCAAAGAGTTTCTCCAACAGGGCTACAAAACTAGATTTTGCAACCCCCAAGCCCTCCAACCAGCCTCCATCTCCGGCTGCATTTTGCAGCCGGAGGGAATGAGGCTGCTAATATGCAGCCTTCCCCCAAAATTTACAGGTGGCTGCAAATTTTTCTAAATACCCACTTTACCCTTTTAATGTTTTATAAACAATTACTTATTACTTCTATATCTTTTTTTTAATTAGTAACTAGTAATTTAAAATCAACATAAGTTTATTTCTACTAATTATTTTTAAATAAAAATTTTATAGTTAGAAATGTCTTATCGATACCTTCAAAATGAGACTAATATTGAATAATATTAATTAAAATATAAAATTCTAAAAACTAAGTAATTAAAAATAAAAATATATTAGAAAATTTTAGTATTAATTTATAATATATTAAAAATACAATGAAAATTAGAAATGAGTAAAAGAATTGTTAAATGGAGAGAAATTGAAATGAAGGAGTGTGGTTAGAGTTACAAATAGAAATGAGTAAAAGAATTGTTAAATGGAGAGAAATTGAAATGAAGGAGTGTGGTTAGAGTTACAAAGCTCTATTTTAATATATTCCTTAGAATATGCTTTAGTGAGGACTCAATGGTTAGGAGTTGCTCAAAGAGATATGGATTTTCGGGATCAGAGTCCAAAATCAGTTTTTATCGAGACTCAAATGACCAATTTGCCCTTTCTATTAACCCAAAAAAAAAGAATATTAATTAAAAAAAAACAAATTAACCCAAAATTTTCACCTCTTTCTGAATCCCCCTCTCCCAACGGCACCGCTCCTCCTCTTCTTCCCACAACTCTCACTCCCCACCACATCACCGCTCGCCATCGCCGGAATCCCATCATCCCCTGCGGACTCAGCGGAGCCCAAAACATCGAGAGCCCGAGAGAACGACGAAATGATCTCCTCGATCAGCCCTCCCGCCGCCGACGTCGAATCCCCCGACGACTCCTCCTTTCGAAGCACCACGCTCAGCTTCGCCGCGATTTCTCGGCCCTTTGTTAGCTCCTCAACCGCTGCGGTTGAAATTGAGGGCAAAGTTTTCATTGTTGTTGTTGACTGAGGAGAAGAAGCGAGGGGGATGAGACTTGAGCACTGAGAAGGATCGTATATAAAGGGGTAACGATGGGGGAATGGGGAGAGTATTGGTGACGTCATCGTATGAAGTCACTGGGCTGCGTCACTGGCTTCTGGTAGCTTTATTATTTATTTATTTGTCTAGGCTGCATCGTGCCAACTTCGTTCCTAAGTAAGTGCGAGTTGGATGCTTGCTGCTCTTTAACTGCTCCGTGTTCAAAACGATCCAGATCGTGTTTAGCGGCTTTTGATTATAATATGGAGTGTTTAAATAGTGAATTATAATTTGTTAATAACAGCAGAGTATTTGGTAATTGAGTGATTTTAGCCAATTGTTATTGCCGAACGATTGAGAATGTCATGAATTGTTATGGCAGAAGAGGCTCGGACATCTCAACTTCCAAAGCCTCAAGACTCTTCAAAGCAGAGAAATGGTGTATGGCCTCCCAACCATTGAAGAAATTGAAGGTGTCTGCTCCAGTTGTATGAAAGGCAAGCAGCATCGAGGCGAGTTTCCAAAGGAAGGAGCATGGAGGGCAACAAAGCCTTTGGAGTTGATCCATACAGACCTATGTTGTCCAATGAAGACGGAGTCCCTGGCCGGCAACAAATATTTTATCACTTTTATTGATGACTTTAGCAGGATGGCCTGAGTCTACTTTTTGAGGCTCAAATCAGAAGCTTTCACCGTCTTCCAAAAGTTCAAAGCAATGGTGGAAAGACAAACAGACCTGGATATCAAGAAGATTCGAAGTGATCGGGGTGGAGAGTACACTTCAGCAGAGTTCGAGGACTACTGCAGCAACCTTGGCATCGAGAAGCAAACCACATGTCCATACACTCCTCAACAGAACGGAGTGACAGAAAGGAAGAACCGGACTATCGTGGAGATGGCCAAGAGTCTCCTACATGAGAAGAACCTTCCCTACAAGTTCTGGGGAGAAGCAGTCAATGTTAGATTTAATCTAATAAATCTATTTGTGGGCACATATGATTAATTGATGTGTATTGCTATCTTTAAGGATAACCCACTAAAGTGATCAATTAAGTTGGGTTAATGGGTATTTAAATATAATCATGGGGTTATATGTGCAGATACCAGGTTGTAATTGTAATTTATTGAGGGGCTAAATTACAAAAGTACAACATCTATAAATAAGGGGTTATGGTCCCTAACCTAGGGTTACATTCTCTAATTCTCTACACCCCCATCTAGCTAGAGAAATTCGGCTAAGGAGAAAACCCTAAGGTTAGAAGATCCAAAACCCAAAATCAAGATCAAGCAATGGATTCAGGTATAATCTTCCGCTCTATTAGATCCTTGTTAATCTCTTTGAATTAATCATGGCTATATGGTTTTAGATCTCAAGTTTTGATTTAGATCTAACAACACCACAGTGTACCTTCTCAACCGGTGTCCAACAAAAGCATTGGAGGACATGACCCCCTTCGAAGCATTCTCAAGTAGAAAACCTTCCTTAAACCACCTTAAGGTTTTTGGTTGTGTTTGTTTTGCTCACATCCCAGGCCAGTTGAGATCCAAACTGGAGGAGAACACAAGAAGGTGTATCTTTATGGGATACGCAAGCCATACGAAGGGCTACAGGCTCTTCAACCCGAAGACTCAAAAGATCGTCATCTCACGGGATGTGGTTATTGACGAATCAGCCAAGTGGAATTGGGATCTCAAGAAGGAGGAGCAGGTGCCCACAAGCTTCATCTACCTAGATTTAGAGAGCACCCAAGATCCAGATCCAGAGCCAGAAGTGCAAACTCCACAAAACGGTTCGAGTTCAACAAGCTCCGACTCAACCACACCCAGATCAAGTGCTAACTCCTCAAGCACACCATCCAACTCTAGTCCCAGTTCTTCTTCCTCCTCAGGTACAACTCCATTAAGATACAAAAATCTTAATGAGATTTACGCTTCATGTAATTTTTGCATATTGGAGCCTGAGTCATTTGAAGATGCCATCAAAGAAGAATATTGGAAGAAATCCATGCAGGAGGAGATCTCCATGATAGAGAAAAATGGCACCTGGGAGCTGGTAGAGAAACCTACAGCCAAGCCAATCATCGGCGTTAAGTGGGTCTATAAGACTAAACTGAACCTTGACGGGTCCATCAACAAGAAGAAGGCACGGCTTGTGGCGAAAGACTATTCACAGAAGCCCGGAGTGGACTTCAATGAAACCTTTGTCCCTGTCTCCAGACTAGAAACAATTCGTCTCTTGATTGCTCTAGCTACTGACAAAGGGTGGAAGGTATTCCAACTCGATGTGAAGTCGACATTCCTTAATGGGGCGCTACAAGAAGAAGTCTACATCCATCAACCGCAAGGGTTCGAAGTTGCAGGAGCCGAGGATAAAGTCTACAAGCTCCACAAGGCCCTCTACGGTCTCAAGCAAGCACCAAGGGCATGGTATGAAGAGGTCAACTCCTACTTCACCCAACACAACTTCAAAAGGAGCCTTAGTGAAGCCACACTTTACATTCGAAGAGATGAGGTAGATATTCTCATTGTAGCTATATATGTAGACGATATTATCTATACAGGCAACAGTGAGAAGCTTATGCATGAGTTCAAGAAAGACATGATGGAGGTGTACGAGATGACAGATTTAGGCCTCCTTCACCACTTTCTTGGCATGGGGATCCAGCAAGACGAAGATGACATCATCATTCATCAACAGGCCTATGCACAGTCAATCTTGAAGAAATTCGGCATGACAGACTGCAAGCCCGTCTCTACCCCACTAGTGGTCAGTGATAAACTCAAGAAGGGAGACGGTACCGAAGGAGAAGACCTCAACCTCTACAGAAGTATCATAAGGAGTCTCCTCTACCTCTCTAATACTCGACCTGACCTCATGTTTGCCTCAAGTCTCTTAAGCAGGTTCATGCATTGTGCAACAAGAGTGCACATGGGAGCTGTCAAATGGGTCCTTAGGTACATCCAAGGCACCTAGAATTTCGGGATCCATTTTAAGAAGAACTCCTCAGCAAAGCTATTCGGATTCTGCAATAGTGACTGGGAAGGTGATGAAGATGACATGAAGAGTACCTCTGGATACTGCTTCACACTCGGATCGGGTGTGTTCTCTTGGGCGTCGATGAAGCAGGAGTCTGTAGCACTATCAACTGCAGAAGCCGAGTATGTGGCGGCTTCTCAAGCAGCATCACAAATCAAGTGGCTGAGGGATGTGCTTGATGACATTGGTGAAAAACAACTGCATCCTACTCCTCTCCTCTGCGACAACAAGTCAGCGATCGTAATGGCAAAGAACCCCGTCTTCCACCAAAGGACGAGACATATCAAGAGAAAATACCACTTCATCAGGGACGCGATCGTGGACAAGGAGATGGAGGTCATCTACTGCAAAAACTGAAGATCAAGCTACAGACATTCTCACCAAAGCGTTGCCGAAGGATCGCTTTTGCACACTTCGAGAACTAATGGGTGTTAAACCTACTAACCCCTGAGGAGGAGTGTTGAACTAATCGATGTTTAGCATGTTAAACAACCTAAGAGCCATAGTGTGATATTCTAGGTGGAAGGGAATCCTAAGAGTCAAAGTATAATAAGTGGGGTGATATTCTAAGAGATGACTCCTTGTATTCTATGCAAGTAAATGTGTAGAGTTAATGTATGGAATATGAAGGGTCATGTATAAGTCTATATAAACCCATGAGTGGGAGAATTTGATATATGAAAAAAAAAGAAAACATAAGCACTAATTTCTCTATCTTCTTCTACATCTCTCTCTCTCTAATTCTCTATCATACTAGCATTAGCCAAAGTTTTTCTTCACTACTCAGTTCAGAATTACAACACGATTGAGAATGTCATGAAATTGGCGATGAATTATCAAATGAGACATGTGATTTTGTAAAATAATGAGGGGAAAATAGGCTTTTACTTGGTCAAATCCTATTATAGATTATAATCCACCAAGCACGGCTTTGATACTGTCATGAGAGAATTTATTTATTTATTTATTTAAAGTAATCTTTTTTTTTTGGTGTGGATGATTATGATTGTTTTGGATGAAAATGAGAGCACGCGTGGTTGTTTGGTATTGGAAGTGCAATAAATGCTTTATGTAAAAAACATAATTGCATTCAACATTTTTTTAAGGAAATTGGACTTAAATTCAGTGTCTGGATTTATACAAAAGATTGAAGCGTTTGCTACAATCAATTCAATCACAAGGACCGCTGCAATTTTTGCTATAAAAATGGAGATGTGATTACCTTTTTCAACAAGTCATGTTGCTTAATAAACATAAAAATGAAAAGTTTACCTTAGTATCTCCTAACGAAACTCTATCTTCGATGAGCGAAAAAATCCCCAAATCATTGAGGATATAACAAGTATTTGGATTTAAAATTGTCAAATGTCATTGCCACTACATCAAAATATCGAAATTGATTAAAGTTGAGGATTGTACCTCTAAACTCCAATATGTCTCTCTATGATTAACTGAATGACCGCTTCTTGTATGAGTCGAAGTTTAGACTCATACAAGAATATATATTTTTCCTCAATCTGCATGAAATATGTTTGTGTCATCACACCAAATCTATCGAAGTTATGGTAATGATGGAAGACTATAGTTTTGTATTGTAATAGGAATTAATAAGAATCGTATGGCGGTAGATGGTCATGGTATGTATAGGGAAGTATAGTTTTACTGTATAAGGTTAAGTATGATTGAATTGGTGGATGGGAATCTTGGAAAAGTCTTGACAGCAAGAGACAAGCTAAAAGGGCCAATACATTGTATCCGTCCTTAGTTCATTGTTGTGGTCCTAGCATCTTGGCTCATTATATCAGGGTGTGAACACAATTTGGAAATAACGAGGAGCACAACTTTTATATTTGCTTTCTCTTAGCTTTTTGGAAACAAACGACGAGTCCAAGCCACGTGCCAGTTGTGTGGAATAAGGAGCGTGCTGTTATTAGCTCCGATGAGATTTTTGTGGGTCCCATGAGATTTTCAGGCCTTTGCCGAGGAAATTGTGGCGGGGAAGAGAGAGAATCTCACATGAGAAGTAACTATCAGGACGCATTTTAGACTTAAAATCTAAACTCT